CTATGAGTCGGTACCGACTTGATGGCACCTAACAACAACAAATCAATACACAATTCTGAATCAGGGCAGGTGTGATGCTGTAGGATTAAGCACTGAACTGCTAACCGATATGTTGGTAGTTCAAATTCACCAGGTGCCCCTCCAAAACTCTATACAGGATAGCTATGAATTGGAACCAACACGACAGCATTTACCAACAACAACATTAGAATCAGTTCTGCAATGTAGTTCTGAGTTTCGTTCCTGAAACAATTTAGAGACTTGTAATCCAAGCTTCCAAATGATACCCGGTGCATCTTTCCTGTTTATAAATTTTCTTCTGGGTATACTAGTTGGAATGGATTTCATTATATGAGCTAGAACATTTTTCTTACACATAAATGGTAACCATTAATGTTCACACCAAAAAGAAGGAATTAAAAAGTACTAAATTTTCAGAAAAGGATCAGAAAGCCTGCAAGATCACATCACATCCTGATAACGTTTAACTCTGCAGAGGAAATGGGACTGGTGTGTATTGGTAAGGCATGGTTAGAGGGTGGCTTTTCTATTTTCCTCTGCATACTTCTTTTCTACTTCTAGATTTTCACAGTAAGAAACAGTTATAGAATGCTGGGAATATTTTTTAAATAACTTAAAATCTTTTAAAAGTTGGTATACTCCTCCCGAAGATGCCTACCACCCTAATTGAGAATAATATGTTTACTGTATTAAAATAAGGAGTTTTAAGAAAGTTAGAACTGAAAACATTCTGTGGTACATACACCCATAATTTCATGTATGCTAACTTAAATAACACAAAAACTTCTTGGGGTATTATAAGGTTACTTAAGTATAACTTAGGAGTCCTTGTGTGGTGCTGTGGGATAAAGCACTGGGCCACAAGGTCGGTTTGAACCACAAGGTCAGCAGTTCAAAACCACCAGCTGCTCCTTAAAAACCCTATACAAGGTTGCTATGAGTCAGAACTGACTTGATGGCACTTAAACAAGAACAATAATATATATAATTTTACTTATAGAATTGTTTTTTTATCCTTGGTTCCTGAATGAAAACCTCTAAACCCTTGGACTCTGCCAATGACTGAAGAGCATTTGATGAGGACTCTCATACTAGTACCTGATGGTAGATGATTCATACTGGGCAGGGCTGACAATTCCATAAAGGCTTACCATGTGATATTAACTTCAGAATATCAACCTTATAACACAAACCTACCTTGAAAAAGACTGGAGTCTGAATTACATAATATGAGACCTCCAGTAAAACCTCTGGACACTTCAGCTACATGGATTTCCTGGTTGGTGAACTACACTGATGTTAAGTGGAAAGGCTGTTGCTGTTAAGAGCCATCAAGTCATTTCCGACTCATAGTGCCCCTGTATAGGGTTTCCAAGGAGCAACTGGTGGGTTTGAACCATTGACCTTTCAGTTAGCAATCCAGTGCTTATCCTACAGCGCCACACCAGGGCTCTAAGCGGGAGGGTAGCACATCGCTTTTTCAGACATGAAAGATTCACATTGGGACTCCTCCCAGACCTTGCCCTATGTGTCTCTTTATTTATATCCTCTTTGATATAATAATATTGTAACCATATGTGCAACACTTTCCTGAATTCTATCATTTGTTCTTACAAATTATCAACCTGAGGGAGTAGTGGAAGCCAAGAAGTCAGATGTGAAGGGAGCCCTGAGGATAGTCAAGCTTACACTGGCACTCTGAAGGGCTAGTGGAAAATTCGAATTTGTACTCAGTAAGTCAGAAGTGAGGGTATCATGGAAACTTCCAAATTTGTGACTGTTATCTGAGTTCTTGGGCAGAACTAGCAGTCTGGAGGACTGTTCCCTTTAACTTGTGAAGTCTGAACCATCTCCAGGTGGCTAGAATCAGAGGAAGTACGCACATGCAAGTGCTATCAGAACACAAATGGAAAAGAGAGAAACAGAATAAATCATCAATTGATTTGATTGGTCCTAGCAGGTATTATCCTGGGAAGGAGATGGACTTTCTAACCTGCAATTTTAACTACATAAACAAAACTTCTGAAGCTTCAAAAGAAGTTAAAAGATAAAGGACAAACTGTGAAAAGGATCTAAAACATGGCAAACAATAAATTAATGCTTCAAATACATGAAGAGCACTTACAAATCAGCAAGTAAAAGATTAATATTTTAAATTAAAAATTGACAAAGAACATTAATAGACTATTTACATAGTATTCACAAAATTATTGGGGCAAAAAATTAAAATGTTCAACCTCATGAGATATGTTTATCAATCAAATTAGAGAAAGTTTAATGAGTATTGAAGATGGTGTGAAACATGATAGTCACTAATGGTGGGATTCCAAATTGTCACAAACATTCTGAAAGTCAACCTGGAAATACATAACAAAAACTTATTCCAGCATTTCATAAACAAAACAGTTTTATATTTGGGAATGTAACTTTTGGAAATGGACAAAATACACCAAGATGAAGACAGTCATAGTAATATGACAAAAACTGGACAATCCAAGCATCTACCATGAAAAATTTAACAAGCTGATGTACAGAAATCCATCATATTTCATGATCTTAAGAGCCATGTAGCTATTGAAAAGAATAGATATTATACCTTATCTGTTAGCATGAATATACGAGGTTGGGTCAAAAATTTTCCACACTCCAGTTATATTAAAACACCCGTCCACGTCCATGGCTGATGACAACATTGAGCATGCACATAAAACGATTCTGTCAAATAGATGACAGTGAATTATGTGACAAATCACTTGCAATCAATCATAGTGTTACCTATGAAATAATCTATGAAACACTGGGGTTTTGTGAAGTTTGTGCAAGATGGTACCGAAACAACTCACAGAAGAGCATAAAGAGAAGCATTTGAACATCTGCAAACAAAATTTGGACTGAAACTCGAAGGAAGGTAAAAGTTTCTATAAAAAAATGGTTACTGGTGATGACATATGGATTCATAACTAGAAGCTCGAGAATAAACAGCAGAGTATGGAAACAGCTTCAATCACCAACCAAGAAAAAGTTCAAAAAAATTCAGCTGTATAACTGATGCTTACAGTTTTCTGGGATGGCCAGTATTGGAACACTATTGGGGAAAAGGTTCAACCATCAATAGCGCTCTTTACAATGAGATGCTCACTAAAGAGCTAGAGGCTAAATTTTGGATTAAACACAGAGGACTCCTATCCAAGGACATTGGGGTCTTGCATGAAAATGCATGTCAGCACACCTCTGCCCACACTGCTGACACTCTGCAAAAACATCCTTTGATATGTTAAAGTAGCCTTCCTAGAGTCCTGATCTTGCTCCATTGGACTTTCAGCTGTTTGGTTCCCTGAAAGCAGCCCTTCAGACATAGATTCACCTCTGATAAAGACAAGACCAGAAGACATCGGTGAATTCATGGCTTGCAGCTCATCCTGAAACATTTTTAAGAAGAGAATAAGAAAGTTTGTTGACAGATGGATAAAGTATTGAAAAGCAAGGAGATTATGTTGAAGAATGATGTGTTTTTCTTTTCTTAAAAATTGATTAAAATAAATTCTACAGCTAGAGTGTGGCGAAGTTTTGAGTCACCCTTGTATATATTATTAAGTGAAAAAGATAGGTGATCAAGCACCATGGTTCTATTAGCATCAAATATACATGAATATTCATAATATCCAATATAATACAGGCATTTATATAAATTTATAAATGTACATATAACTACATAGATACAAATATACCCTAAGTATATCTAAAATATTATATACCAAAATATTAACAGTGAGTAGTTCAGAATAATTAAGTTATCATTTATAACTTGTAGTCATTTTCTTCATAATTTTTAAATCCAATATAATACAGGCATTTATATAAATTTATAAATGTACATATAACTACATAGATACAAATATATCCTAAGTATATCTAAAATATTATATACCAAAATATTAACAGTGAGTAGTTCAGAATAATTAAGTTATCATTTATAAATTGTAGTCATTTTCTTCATAATTTTTAAATACTCTAAAAACTTTGCATAAAACACTATTATGAGTTTTATGAAAATAAATAGTAAAAAACATATTTATTCTTTAAACAAAGAGCAATAAAAATCACCTGATTAAGTACCTTATACCTTTGCCATACGTTACTATTTCTCACCTTTAAACCTTCAGCTGGAAGACTGTAACCAAATCTTGCTGGAAGGTCATCAAATGTCTGTGACACATTTTCAAAATCATACTAAATATGAAATGAAAAACAAACAAGTTAAAACCAATTTACATAGAACATTAAATTTTAAATTACATGAAATAATTTAACTAATCATTTTTGTAATTCTCACCTACTATCAAAATGTATAACAATAAAATCAAATCTCAAAAGTGCATTCACTAAAACAGCAAGGAATGTACATAATATTTACTAAATATGTTGTTGTTAAGTGCCGTTGAATTGATTCCAACCCATAGCGACCATGACAGGGTTTCCGAAGGCTGTAAATCTTTACGGGATCAGAAAGCCTCATCTTTCTCCCATGGAGGGGCTGGTAGTTTTGAACTGCTGACCTTGCGGTTCTCAGCCCGATTCATAACCACTACACTACCAGAATTGAATCTGAATTTCATATAATAAGTATTAAACAGCAATAAACAGCAACAATCATTCTCTGACATTAAATAGTATATTGCTTTCTTTATTTTTCCCTTGGACAAATCCCCCTAGCAAGAAATTTTTTTAATATATAAATTTCTGGCAAGAGAGTTCCATTGTATTTTCTTTATAAGGTCTTGATTTATCATTTATGATTTATCAGATTTCTGACTCTATCTATGAAAGATACCTTTTCCAAGGAGGGAAAAAAAAAAAATCAAATCAGATATTCTAAGGCATTAAAATTTTTAATACAGACTGATTGTCTTTAGCCAGTGTTGAAAAATAAAAAATTTAAATCAACAAAATATAAACATACAGAGAGCTAAAGGTATTCAAGAAAAATTTAAATATTCACAAAGCATGAATTAAGTCACACATCCAGAATGACAGCTATGCCATATGTAAATCAAATACTCAGTGATACCCATTCTGGCCCCACGTATCATCTGCCACAGACATCTAAATAAAGGCCTAAACAGCTCTAGAGTTGAACAGCAGTTACAGCTGTAACCAGGTGTAAATGCCTTTGAGTCTCTCCTATAGAGAAAGTCAATGTTGGCTGCAGCCCATACCATCAGCAAGGACACCTAATGCAGCACAGGTAGAGACTGAACAGCTCATCATGGGTAAAAGTATTCAAGTAATGTGATTTTTGCATCTGACTTGGATCCTATCCTGAGCATCTTATCAATAAGCTGTGTGAATGATTAACCTATTCATTCTGTGACCTCTGGGATAATCTGCAAGGTAATATAGTGAAAAGCCACCATAGCTTCAGGATGATTTCCATCACTGCAATAATTTGTAATTGCTAAGTAATCCATGGTTTACAAAGTGTTTTGGAGTCATACAGTCCTTTTATCTCATTTCAATGTATCATTTAAGCTCATAATTAAAGCATCATTCTTTATCTGATTCAATTTATGTGACCAGCTCTGTGTTTAATTCGAAAAAGTAATTTAATTCCTACAAGCCAAAGATGCCACTGCAAAATAAAGATACTGATCTAGTTCAATGGAGACAGAAAAGATACAAATATGTGTAGGCGGTACTTTAAAAAAAAAAAATTTTTTTTTTTTTTTTTTAAGTACTTTTAGAATTTGGAAATGAAAAATCTGTGACTTCAGGATTGGCCAGTGTTTCGTTCTATTGTATACAGGGCTACTGTGAGTCAGAACCAACCCAATGGCACCAAACAACAACAGCAACTGAAATCATTTTTACCTATTTTCTATGCAGTACAACCTGAAATCTGAAGGCTTTTTGCCTCTGAGTGACTCGTGTTTGTTGTTGTTGTTAGGTGTCATTGAGTCAAAACCAACTCATAGCGACCTTACGCACAGCAGAAGGAAACACTGCCCGATCCTGAGCCAACCTCACTACTGTTGCCACGCTTGAGTCCACCAATGCAGCCTCTTGGCCAATCCATCTCATTGGGGATCTTTCTCTTTTTCTCTGACCCTCCACCTTACCAAACATGATATCCTTCTCCATTGACTGGTCCCTCCTGACAATATGTCCTTAGTATGAAAGACAAAGTTTGGCCATCCTGGCCTCCAAGGAGCACTCTAGTTGCACTTCTTCCAAAACGGATCAATTGGTTCTTTGGCAGCCCATGGCAACATTCAATATTATCCTCCAACACTATAATTCATCAAAAGCATCAATTCTATGGTCTTCCCTATTCACTGTCCAGCTTTCACATGCATATGAGGTTATTAAAAATACCATGGCTTGGGTCAGGCGCACCTTAGTCCTCAAGCTGACATCTTTGCTCTTCAACACTTTAAAAAGGTCTTGTGCAGCAGATTTGCCTAATGCAATACGTTGTTTGATTTGTTGATTGCTGCTTCTGTGAGTGTTGATAGTTGATCCAAGAAGAATGAAGTCCTTGACAACTTCAATCTTTTCTCCATTGATAAGAATGTTGTTTATAGATCCAGTGGTGAGGACTTTTGTTTTCTTTACATTGAGATGTAATCCATACCAAAGGCTGGTACTCTTTCATCTGCATCAGTATATTTTAAGTCCTCTTAACTTTCAGGGAGCAAAGTTGTATCATTTGTATATTGCAGGTTATTAATGAGTCTGCCTCCAATCCTGATGCCACGTTTTCTTCATAGAACCCAGCTTCTAGGATTATTTGCTCAGCATACAAGTTGAATAAGTATGGTGAAAGAATACAACCTTGTCACACACCTTTCTTCATTTTAAACCATTCAGTGTTCCCATGTTCTGTTCTAACAACTGCCTCTTGGTCCATGTACAGATTCCTCATGAGCACAATTAAGTGTTCCGGAATACTTATACTTCGCAATGTTGTCCATAGCTTGTCATGATCCACACAATTGAAAGCCTTTGTGTAGTCAATAAAGCACAGGTAAAACATCTTTCTGATATTCTCTGCTTTCAGCCAAGATCCACTGGACATCAGCAATGATATCCCTCGTTCCACAGCCTCTTCTGAATCCGGCTTGAACCTCTGGAACTCCAGCTTAGCAGAACTTAATTCCATCTTGTGCCCACATTTTAAGTGTTCAGATGCCAATTTTTCCTGAGTACTTTATGCACATTTTGAAGAATTTAAAAAATATTACTGTTAAAGTCATACAGATATACTAAGTCTTAAAGAAAACAATAATATTATAAATATAGAGCATAGAGATATGTGTACATGAACACCTGCTTTCAGGAGCAACAAAAGTACCTGATAAGGTATTTTTTAATATATGATGCGATCTTATGTTACATATCAACCAATAGAAAGATAAGCAAGTTTCCTTTCCTCTTTCAAGTAACTAACTGTGTGTGTACGCCAGGGTATGTCTGCAGATAAATATCTTACAAGACTCCAGCATTCCAGGACATTTTTAAAGCTTTTATTTTAAAGGATATGTTTAGCCATGACTATATTTTATTATACTTACTGCTAAAATGTCCGCTTCTACGGGCAGTAGGTTTAAGAATGCAAAGAGCTGGACAGTCAAGATGGTGTAGAGCTGTGTAGCCGACAGCATGAGCATTCCTATAGAGAGCAGCATCTCGTTGTAAAATCACCTGCAAGTATATGAGTGACAATAAGATCATTGTCCCTAAGAAGAAACTACTTGATATATTAATTATAACAGATAAAGTTATCCCTTTAAAATTTAAATACATATTAACATTAAAAAAAGCTTATATTTCAAAAGTATAAGAATTTATACAGATTTGTACATTTAGACAATTACCCAAAGTTAGTAGATATTTATACAAGTCATGCAGACTGTTTTAACCACAAATCACCCATTCTCCCACAATTCTCAGTTGACAGTAGTTTGTCTAATCCAACTTTGGGGCAAACCAGATTCTAATTAAAATAATTTTAAAAAAAACACACAAACACCTTGCTTTAAAATGTTCTACAATTTAAAAGATAATTTAGCCTTCGGTTCAATATAAATTTACATGCAAAGGCTTTGCTCCACAAATTTTTTATTACTCCACTGGTGGTGGTGTGCCATGGAGTCAGTTCCGACTTATAATGACCCTGCATAGGGTTACTATAGGCTATAAATCTTTACAGGAGCAGAAAGCCTCATCTTTCTGCCGCTGAACCACTGGTAGTTTCAAACTGCTAACTGTGAGGTTAGCAGCCCAACTCGTAACCACTACGCCTACCAGAGCTCTTTACTCCATTTTTGTTGGTGGTGTTAGGTGCCAATGAGTCAATACAGACTCATAGTGACCCTATGCACAACAGAATAAAATACTTTCCGGTCCTGGGCCAACCTCACAATTGTTGCCACACTTGAGCCATTGCTGTTGCCACTTTGCCAATCTATCTCACTGGGGGTCTGCCTCTTTTTCTCTGACCCTCCATCCTACCAAACATTACCTCCTTCTCCAGTGACTGATCCCTCCCGACAATATGTTCGAAGTATGAGAAATGAAATTTGGCCATCCTGGCCTCCAAGGAGCACTCTGGCTTCACTTCTTCCAACACAGATCTGTTGGTTCTTTTGGCAGCCCATGGACTTTCAATATTTCTCCTCCAACACCATAAACTCAAAAGCATCAATTCTTCTACTGTCCAGCTTTCGCATGCATATGAGGTTACTGAAAATACTATGGCTTGGGTCAGGCAAACCTTAGTCCTCAACCTGACATCTTTGCTCTTCAGCACTTTAAAA